GTGTGTGTTTGGTGGATGGTTGGGGAGACTGATGAGGGCGCCAACCCGGCGCATTTTATCATCATGACCTGATTGCTGCTCTACAGCTTCCTCGCTTGCATGCTCCTTCATGAGCAACTACCCAAGCCCATCTCAAGCAACACCGGCCAATCGTGAGCTGCCACTCCATTGGCAGAGTCTTTGTTTCGCTCTAGCTTCCCGACCGTGTGTGCTTTCTACGTACACATAGACTTGCTGTGAGGAACAGGCCAGTGAAGGTGGGATCTATACCAGGCTGATCCTCTTTGGTTGTGGTGATGTCGGTGAAAGTCGAATTATTTCTTGGGAACGTGATTTTGTGGCCGCTTCCATCTACGACATGTTTAGTATTTGGTGATCGAAAGACCCCCCATGCCGATCACGGTGCCCGGTCGACCAATACGCCGATTCTCACGGGGCCGTAAGGCGACCCGGTGATCCACAGGCGATAATGTGTATTCCGATATCAGGGATAACTTCCAGCTCCCCGGTCGTCCTGTCCGGTATAACATGTGTGGGCATCCTCCACGAATTTGGCAGAGCGATGACGGTCGCGATGTCATCTTCCATTGCATGCATCAGTACAGCAAGTTGTTTGACCACCCGGGATGATGGCCCGGGTACACAATCCGCACCGATGAGGCTTCCCGACTTGCAATTTGCTAATATCGGGCTGGTGGAGTTTACGGAGGGCAAGCTGGCGCCCGCCGGGGGATGAGCTATCTGACAATTCGCGCCCACATGGTAAGGGCGTCCTACGAAGGTTCCCAATCAACCCATTTGTGGATGTGCCGTCAAGCTTCCCGCTGACCGTCTTTTCAAACGGAAGGCCAGGCAGGGTTTCTCTTTTAACCTCACCGGCCTGCTCGATAATCTGCACCTTAGCCTACAAAATACTCGAGGAGCTGTTAGCTGTTGGCCGCTGGGGCGAGTGGGGTCTATCAAGCGAGTTGTGGCCAGCATACTCCGACTCATCGGCATCTTATCCATGGGCATATCCGCTTCGCCGACATCAGCAATGATAATTTAATCGAAGATGAAGATTTTACTTTATTTAAGCTACACAACTACATCCGCACCGCTCGCACGCAAGAATCCAAGCGAAACTCCGATTGAAACTTAGCTCCGGCGACGCCGTATTTGCATTCTTCATGAACGTGGTGAGGCATTTGTCAACTTTTTTTGTTTTGATATTGAAATAAAACCTGATTATCGTCTGCCTTTGTAGCTCAGTGGTAGAGCGTTCCACTCGTACGCGTCATGGAAAGGTCTGGTGTTCAATCCACCACTGAGGCACCCCCTTTCGGGAGTTGCAGGGAATATGGCAACGTGGGTTACCTGCAGGCTGGTTTTTTGTACCGCTGAAGAACTCCCTGCCACCCTCAATCTGATCTACTTTCTCTGAATCTCAAATTTGGTTTGGTGATGAAACTTGATGACAGTCAGGTTCCCACCGCCAAACTGCCAAGTTTGGAATTGAAATTTAGCCCATCTAGATCAAGCAATCTAGACTGATGGGAAGTCCTCCAGTGGTTGGGTTAAATCACAAGGTTAAAGCAATTTAACCTGGCTCAAAGTAAAACAAAATCAAACCGTGCTCAGGCTAAGCAAGGCAACAATGGTGAAAAGTTAAATAAATGGCTAGTCACCATTTAAATTAAGAATTTTAATTGGTAGGATCTAAAACCACACTAAGGGAAAAAAAGAAAGAGAAAACATTTAAAATAAAGATAGAGTAGAGAGATAAGGAAATAGCAGAAGGAAACATACCACACAAGACTGACACAAAGAAAATCAAGGAATAAAAGATAGTATTAATAAACTATGAGGAAGAAGGACAGATGATCTTAGGAAAGAAGAAAAGGACAGTAACAAAATCAGATGAGTTCAGAAATTTAGAAATCAAAACTCTGTAGAGGGAAGAAAAAGAAGAAAATAAAAGCATTGCAAGGAAGAGAGTTTGATGTATTCAGGATAATAAGTGGATGATGACTGATCAGAGGTGAGAAATTTACTGATTCAGCATGAGGCTTGAAGCCCGAGTTAAACTGATTTTGTTGAAGGGTGAGTATTGAGAATCTGGAGATCAATGGTTCTTGATGAGAGATGATGAATAAACCTTTTTCAGACTCAAGATTCTTGATTGTAACCTGAAATCAAACCTAACTGGTTGCAACCTTGAAGCTTATTGGTTTAAGTGCTGCAGAGCCAGCCAAATCTTCTTCAGTCTAGAAAACTCAAAATTAACCATCAAAGCTGTAGAAACCTTCCCCACAAGTTAAGTGCATTTGTGTTGAATTTCTGGCCTTAATTTCCACAAGTGAAATGAAAAGGGAAGGTGGATGGCAGTAAGTTTAGGCACCAGACCAACTTACTGGTGGAGAAGGAGGGAAAGAACTAATTATGAGATTGCTTTTATCTAGCCTGGATAAATAGTCTACGCACAATAAGGTCAAAATCTGGTTTGAAAAAGAAGACAATAAAAACAACTGAGAGATGAATTGAGTTCAGATCAGACAAACTAGATGGAAAAAAGCTATAAATGCTAGATATAGATAAGCTGAATAAGAAAAAACAAAGACATCACAAACATGAAGGGGTGTTAATTCTTCTTGATCAGTTGAGAAAGAAATCAAGAAACAAGAAGTAATTTACTGAGACAAGAGGGTGAAAATAGCACACATCAGGCTTCTTCTATATTGCTATAATGTTAATGATTTACAGGAAAAATAGAAATAAAAAATATATGAGAAGGCCAGAGTTGGAATTCCAACAATTTGAGATACATTTGACTGGTGGTTACCTCACTCATTCAAACCCTACCAGTATGTTTTTTTAAGGTGGACCAGGATATAAGTACTGAAAGTCACAGACACTTGGTCTTGTGACAGGGACTGATCACAAAGATAAATTATGTTTTCATTCAGTGATTAAATCTGGCTAGATCAATGCCGCTGTGAACCAAATACATGGGTGTTTTTGGTAAAGGCATACAACTAGATATAATCATCTCAACAGTTGTGGGAATCTGGCTAGTTGAAATTCACTTTAAGCCAATGATTTAACACTCACTTAGGGCCAGTACAGATGGTCTTAGTGCTATCACTGCAAAAAAAACTTGCTCAACTGCCTGCAGTTGACATGCAGCATGCTCCAGCCAAGCTGCTATCAAAACCCCACAAGATTGCATATGT